TAGAGCCAGTACCCCCTCCAGTAGTAGTGCGAGGTTTCTTAGTACTACGCGCAGTGTTAGTCTCTACTGCGTTACGCTTAGTGGACTGGGTGTAGCTCGTGGTACTAAGTACTCTAGTAGAGAGATTGGTATGCTTGTGAACTATCTTCTCAAAGACAGACCAAGGCATAGATCGCAAATCACCATAGGCGATGAGATTTGTAGATGCGTGGCCATACGTCCGGGCTTTGAAGTTGAAATCTCCCCACACGACATCTGGTTGGAAACCGCCAATCTCGGGGGGAATTCATGTATCGCCTAACGTCGTCTTCAGTAAGCGATTTGAGTGGAAAGTAGAACACGGCCATATGAACGCCAAAGCATACTATATGATAGTGTGTGCTCGAGTCTATATGATCAAGAAAGGTGGTGTTATGCAGGTTTCAACCACACACATAACATCAACCTGACTTAAAATCGATATAGTATCTGTATGTGCTGCGTTGTCCATGTTGAGTCCTTGTGGGTTGAATAGCGTCATCCTCATTGGTCCTAACATTTTTCATCATCGGTCAATACTACTGGGCTCTCCTCTTTGATGATGTCAGCCATTTCTATATCATTGCCTGTCGTCGAAGAGTCCGTCGTGGAAAGCTGAGGCTGCGTATTGCTATCCATCGTGTCGGATGATTGTGTCGGGGAGACCGTTGGTATATGAAGTCGCCCGGGTTTCGCACGCGCTGATTCTTTAGCGTTTACCGGGATTCGCGGGTTAAGTGAGAAAAGGTTTGCATCATGCTTTGCTTGGTAAGCCTTCTGGAGACGGTCCGTGGTAGATTGGTGGATGTCTGCGTTAGTGGAGTTGACAAGTGGGCTCAGTAGTGCATCCATGCTGCGGGCAAGAATTTTTGGCGCTCGTTCATGTGTGCAGCGGGCCTCCCGCTTGGTACGGAGATAGTGAATTAAAGCTGCTTTCGTAGCGTCGGGATGTTGTTGGGAGCGGGGGTCGATGTTTTCATCAAGCTACCATTTCCACGTAAGTGCTGCAGGTCGTTTCACCTGGGCGATAGAGTCGCTAGGAACACAAAGGCGGATGAAACTGGTGGAGCTTCCGCGGCGATTTGGTTGAGATACCGATTTAGACGGAAGATACGAAAGTGGTGGCGATTGAGGGCTGGTTGGTCATGCCAGTATTTTTCAAATACTGATTGGGATGGGGGCTTGCCGTTAGGGAAAATTGCTCGGAAGAAGAGCCATACCGGAGTTATTTCATCCATTTCATGAAGAGCCTAAAACTGAGAAGCTGGTGGGGTCGGGCGTTTTTTAGGGCTCGATTTTTCAGGTTTGTCCACTTTTAAGCGGTAGCTGGGAGGCTCACTGCTGCTATTGGGCGCCTGTGACCGCGGTCTTTTTGCAGGCGGAACAGGCGGGCTTGTGGAGCCAAATCGGAAAGTGTCGGGTGTGTCTTCATCTATAGGTGCACGGGTTTGGGATTTAAGTTCAAGGTTGGTTGTTTTTGCACAGAGGTTAGTGAGCATTTTGTGTATGGTTGATTTCCATTGGTCATCAGTCAAAGGCTCCTTGGAGATGGGCCCATCATTGTTCGGGGTTGTTAGAGCCGGTCCCAAAATTTGATTGAGATTGGCCTGTAGAGTACTGGCCTGGGCAGAGAGGTTTGTGATAGATTTTTGTAAGTCCAATTTCCATTGGTCATTGGGTAAAGTCGTTGGGGAAAATAGCATACGTTAGATTAGGCGGGAGTCTCAGAGTTAGTGTTCAGGTGTCATTCCATTTCTGACACTTGTCAGTTCTAGTTTTTATCTTTCTCTCTCTTTCTCAGTTTCTCGCTTCCGCCCCCCTAGGGGCCCAGTCTCCCTCTCTCTCGCTACTCTTTTCTACTCTTTTTTTTGTTTTTACAAAAACAAAATTGTTGCGTGTATTTATTGTTATTATTTAAAAAAAAACATTGTTTTTAGAAACAATTGTATCTACTCTATTTTAGAATACACTTCTCTAATTCGAAAAGATTGTGTAGACGCATGGACGCAGTGTGGACTGTTGTTTGTCTTTTGTATTTACCCCCTGATATTTACTCTCTCTCTCTTTCCAATTATCTTCTGAGTATGTACCTATGTATTGTAAAGTTGTATTCTAAACACCCTTACCCTCCATCTCTCCTTCTCACGGCTCACAGTCTCTCAGTCTCGCGTCTTCTCTGTCTCTCTCATCTTCTCTCTCTCTCTGTTTCAGAGTTTCTGACTCTACAGTCTACATACTACTCTCGAGTCTAACACATAAGTAAATATTTTAAATTTTAATTAAGAGTAGTTATTAGAGTAAAGTCGAAACGGCTATCTGCTGATTTCCAGGCTCTGGGCCTCTGGTCTGGACGCTGGACTCTGGACTCCATAAATAGATTGTATATATATAGAAATATCATATATAGCGACCTCCACATTTTATTGAATTTTTGAAATTCTGAACCCAACCATAGTCTCCTAAATTAGAACACCTAACCTGATAAAGTTATGGGGTCACTGGATAAACGTTCAACCTAAAACTGTTACTTTTTGGAAATATAAAAGTTATATTATTTATTTGGGACATAATAATATATATATAATTTTCAAAACTGCACTTGAGAAATTGTTCGATATATTATTTAATTGAAAAAAAAAAACACAAATTCGGAGGAATTGTGTGCGCTCGACCTGACACCTTAGGTTTACCTATTGACCTGAATATTGCACCCACTGAATTTGAGAAGGGCTTATATCGGTATAAAAGATGTCTTTTTAACGTAAAAAAAACATACAAAAATAAAAGTAAAAATAACTTTTAACTTTATGAGGTTAGTTCTGAACTCGAGGTCAGACTCGAAGTTGTTCAGGAACCAGAAGTCAGAACTCACAGAAGTCAGAAGAAGTCATCAAATCGCGTGTTGTTTCGCAAGTAAATTTCCCTTTCCGTAGATTTAAAAAAAAATGAAGTATTTAACTGTTTGCTGTGCAATAGTGTCTTTCAAAAAGAGCATAGCATATCAATACACGGTCTAAAATCGACTGTTTACGTTGGTTCATCAAGAAACCCCTCACGAACAACAAATGTCTGTCAGCCACGCCCTGTCGCCTACGGGCCACGGGCCACAAACGGGCCAAGGGCCATGGCCCACGGGCCACAAACTGGCCAAGGACCATGGCCCACGGGCCACGCCCACGGCAGACCTCAATGCATATACGCTGAAAACGTAGTACGTTCTACGTTAACGCTTAGTTTTGAAGCCGTTTCCCCGTTTTCAGGTAGTATACTGGGAGATAATTCTAAAAATCAATTTTGTTTGGATCTACCTTATATGGCCCAATTAATAGCTGTTATGTTTTGACAGTAGAAAATCTGTCTAACTATAAACAACTCGTGAAATATAGTTGGTGAATTAAGCCAAATATAAGGCGGGCAGAAGCCAAGACCCTACAACGTAAAAAAAACGTGGTACGTTTTACGTTAACGCATCAATGCCCACTACATAAATACTATATAGGCAGCTGAAAGCCCAGTTGTGTTCAAAAAAGGTTTATTTATTTATTTTGTTTTTGTTCTATTTTTTATATAAAATTTACTACATAAATGTAAGATAAAATCTAAATATAGTTCTACCATCTATTTACACTTTACAGTCTATTTACAGTCTATTTACATTCTAAATACACTACAGGGTACAGATTAATTACAGTGGATTCGGGGAACAATAGAGAATTCCTGTTCTCCGGGAATTCATACAGAGTGACAGACCACCCCAGTCGCCTGTCGCCAGTCGCCAGTCGCCACTCTCTGTCCCCAGGGCCCAGTCCCCTCACAGGTGACCGCACAGGTCTCGCTATTTAAATAGTAGTCCTGGTCTATCGCCCGGTCTACCCCCCGTCTGCCCTCAATTTCGGTCCCTTCGACCTCATCCGCAGCGGAATGCCTTTTAATCTTTTTTAGTTTTTTTTAGGGCGAAATTTTCACTCCCCTATTTGCGTGATTTCACTGATTTGACTGATTCCTGCCCGAGAGAGAGACTGTCAGTGTCAGCTTATTTTTAAGAGGTTCTATGTAATCCCGTTTTGAATGTCAAAGCCAGTCAACTGTCAAGTGGTTTCTGATTTAAAAAATAAAAAGAGTTCAGACTTCAGTGATGAGGTCTATATTGGGCTCTTGGAGTAACGACACTAAATAGAGTGCGATTCACTCGACAACCTTCAGTCTTCAGAAGTTCCAGTGCTTCTACTCACCTGCTGTGACCCTGTGTCAGGCTGTCAGTTTTGCTGATTTCAATTTGGTCCTCAACCATAAAATAAATATAAAATTCATAAAAAAGGACATAATTATTATTTTTTATTTATTTAAAAAAACTGTAATAAAGATCAGCTTGCCTTCTATTTCAAAAAATATCAAAAGCCGAAGGTTGCCCACTGTTCGTTGTCGTAAGCGACACTGCATACATTATGGCTTTTACATACCATCGTGAATATATAGCATCCGCATGAGATTACAGCAGTTACTTGCTTTTCCGCTTACCTTGCCATAATAAGAAACCCGAAGTATTAATGAGATACTATGAACAGTTCCAGGCAATCTGAGTGTGTTGGAATTAGCTGCGTGGTATGCCAAGCGCCGGCCCGGTTTGTATGTCCATGTCAGAAGAGGCACTTCTGTACTGTGCAATGTCAGGTAGGCAATTGTAAACTAGAATTATTCAGGCTTTCTTTCGTCAACATTAAATTAGATACGTACTCTCGCGTTTTGAACACAAAGGTTTGAACATGTTGGCAGGAAGAGACAGCATTTAGTGGTTAATGACTGCAATTTATGTTCCGTGATCGTTCAGAGCTTTCTTTTGTTTGCTTTTGAGCACAAATCGAAATAATTACAGGGCTGTACAATTTGAAATTGTCGAAGTCTAACCTTGTTCATTATCTATTATTTTTCATTTGGCAGAACCAAGACTGGTCTACGGGTAATCACCACAGCGAGTGCGATTTTGAAGCGCCACGTGTTGTGACGGGTGAACAACCGCAGCAGAATGACATGATGGAGCCAGGAAGAGTATACAACCCCAACAACCCCAATACAACACAAGCTGTATACGATGGTGCCTATCCTCGAGAGAGTGTTGGCGTCACATACGCCAACGTCTCCCTCGAAACCGACAGTTTTCGTGAACGTCAAGAGGCCTACGACGTTCATCCAGGCGAGAACACTCGACAAATAAATTCATTGTACGGTCGGAGGAATCAACAACCACTGAAAAGGAATACAATGTCTGGCGATTATAATCCTGAGTACGGTCGCATCCCTGTGTATAATGGGGCTCACTGGAGACAGCACAGTGCCAACATGGACGGCCAGACCTGGTCAAACGGGTTCTACAATGGTTCGACTATTGGGTATATGGAGGAGCACCATAGTTCTAACGCTACTGGTGGTAGAGTGTTTTACGATGGGAATAGCCAAGGAATGCATGGCGATGCCGGCGTAAGACAACTGCACGTAATTGACAGTGATAATATGGCTAGCCCTGTCCCCCAGACCATTTCTAATGGAGTGTCTCCGGCCACTAATACCGAAACTTCAAAGTCTTCGAAAGTACGAGCGTGCACCTGGGAAGGCTGTAACAGGACATTCACGCGCACAGATCATTATACCAGGCATATGAACACACACACTGGGTACAAACCATTTGCTTGTACGTGGGAGGGCTGCGGCAAAAGATTTGGGCAAGCGAATAATCTAACGCGACACAGAAAAACGCACACCAAAGAGAAACCCTGTGTGTGTCCTTGGGAAGGGTGTAATAAGCGCTTCAGTGAGGCAAGCAACCTCGCCAGACACAAAAGACTGCATTCAAAGGAAAAGCCCTTCATGTGCAAGTGGGATGGGTGTCAAAAGAGTTTCGCAGATCCTAGTTATCTTGCGTCGCACGCACGCACTCACGCCCGCACAGAGGTGTTTTATTGTCCGTTGGATGGCTGTGAACGAGTGTTCGCGGTTAGATCATATCTTACCAGGCACATTAGAACGCATACAAACGAGCAACCGTACGAGTGCCAGTACTGCTTCAAACGTTTCAACCAGTCTAGCAATCTGAGCCGGCATATACGCACGCATAATGTAGACTACAACGAGGGCGATGAATACCAACATCGTTATAGTGATGACAAATTCGAGAATAAGAGTAGCCATGTGAAGGTGGAAACGTCGCCAGTATGACATCGACTTCTTGCTTAGGTATGAATCCATCAGCAACACTTAAAACGATTTGCGCATTTATTGTTTTGGTGGTTGTGCTATTTCGAGAAGACCTAAGGGGATTTATAAATACAATCTCACACACGACAACACCATAACATATGCGCCTCACATTCTAACGTGGCATCCTGGAATATAACGTTAGTGAAATAGAGCCGACTTGGGACTGTGCAGACAAATAAATCACCTACTTCACACAAAAAAAAGTTACAATCATTCTTGGTCAATAATTTTAGTACTCCACGGCAAGACATATTTTATCCTTGATATATTGTTGACTGTCGCTATGGGTATTGCTTCTCACATCACTACGAGTCTACACCTGTTCCATTTCGTATAACGATAGGCCAGTCGAATTTCAGATTGGGTTGAGACAATTGATATATATCTATGGCGGTGTGGGTGTATATTAAGGACCGGGAAAAATGGATAGTATCCGCCAAGGCAATATTGTTCGAAGGGGCTGATGTAGGCAATGCACTCAACATTACCGGTCTTCGCAACCCAGATTTGATTATTTCATATCGCCTGACCGAGGTGATGAGTGCATCTGGATTTGTGTCAGCGTAAGGAGTGCTTGAAGGCAAATAGCAACATGATTGATAATAGATGATAACCAGTAACTTAAGTGGCGTCACGGGGAACAACAAGGCCTGTCTACTAGGCGGAATCTTTGATTGGACATCCCCGGGGCCAACGATGCTCATTTTATGCTGCCCGATTTACAATACCATATATATATATGTGTGTGTGTGTATATATATACATATAAATATATATATACATATGTACATTTATATATACATCTGTATATATATATATATATATATAAATACATACATACATACATCCATAAATATATATATATATATATATATAAATGTAAATATATATTTCAA